CTCTTCCCATGAGTGGACATCCCCTTTAAGTCTCATGCAGTGGGAGGATCTTTCTAGGCGGGGGGCGTGCAGTTGGCGCTCTGGAGCCGCCCTGCACAGTGTGGGGGAGGAGCATGCAGAAGGGGAGACATAAACAGACCAGTTACCTGACAGATAACGTTATCATAGTAAGCCAATGCACGCGCATGGGGGGAGAGGTGACACGGGGTGTCGCAAAGTTTCCTTACATTTGGGTGGGAGCCTTCCGCAATGGTGGACAAAGAGAAGTTATCATTGTGCAGCTCCGACGGAGTCCGGTACCTGCTGAGAGAGAAGAGAGGGGACGGACATGACTCCTCTGCCATACACGTACCTTACAATGCATGCCCCTCCACCCAGTCTCTCTGGGAAGAAAAAACAGCACGGTGGAGGTGTTTTGGTGTGTAGAGCTATTGCTCATCATCAGATGGAGATTTTGGCTGGAGGGGGGACACACACACACACACGTTGGGGCCACTTACTTCCTTTTGCGCAGTTTGTAGTTCTCCGTTTTCAGCAGGTAGAGTTTTTTGGCGAAGAAGACGGTCATCATGAAGAGGAGGAGGACCACCAGCGCCGCCGTGCCGACCGCCACGCACATCACCTGGAAGTCCGTGATGATTGACTCGCACCGGAGACCCTTGTGCCAGATGTAGTCCTGAGTGTTACACCTGAAAAGGGGGCGGAGACACCGAGGGGATCAGATACATTGTTACATATCGTCCAATAACATTGTCAGCTCTGCGGAGTTCTTTATAGAAAACGTGCAGGCAACGCGTTTCGGGGTTTTACACACTCCTTCATCAGGTAATAATAACTCAGGTCATGGAACCGCCAGAGACCCCGCGTCCCAAATATTGGGTCATAGCCGATATCTCCCACAACAGTGCCCATTATGTCGAGCCCGGCCTTCTCCTCCAACATCAGTACCTGACCTCACAAATGGTCCAACATTCCCATAGACACACTCCTAAACCTTGTGGACGCCTTCCCAGAAGAGGCGGAGCTGTTATAGCGGCAAAGGGCGGAGCCAACCCAATACTGAACCCTACGGACTAAGACTGGGGGGCCATTAAAGTTCATGTGCGTGTAAAGGCGTCCCAATACTTCTGGCAGTATAGTGTATGTGTGTTGGGGCCCCGTATTACATGACCTATGCGTGTTGGGGCCCTGTAGTACATTACCAATGTGTGTTGGGGGCCCCGTAGCACATTACCTATGTGTGTTGGGGCCCCGTATCACATTACCTATGTGTGTTGGGGCCCCGTATTACATGACCTATGCGTGTTGGGGCCCTGTAGTACATTACCAATGTGTGTTGGGGGCCCCGTAGCACATTACCTATGTGTGTTGGGGCCCCGTATCACATTACCTATGTGTGTTGGGGCCCCGTATCACATTACCTATGTGTGTTGGGGCCCCGTAGTACATTACCTATGTGTGTTGGGGCCCCGTAGCACGTGTGTGTTGGGGCCCCGTAGCACTTTACCTATGTGCGTTAGGTCCCCGTAGCACATTACCTATGTGTGTTGGGGCCCCGTAGCACTTTACCAATTCGTGTTGGGGCCCCGTAGTACATTACCTATGTATCTTGGGGCCCCGTAGTACATTACCTATGTGTGTTAGGGCCCCTAGCACATTACCTATGTATCTTGGGGCCCCGTAGTACATTACCTATGTGTGTTAGGGCCCCTAGCACATTACCTATGTATCTTGGGGCCCCGTAGTACATTACCTATGTGTGTTGGGGCCCCGTAGTACATTACCTATGTGTGTTGGGGCCCCGTAGTACATTACCTATGTGTGTTGGGGCCCCGTAGTACATTACCTATGTGTGTTGGGGCCCCGTAGTACATTACCTATGTGTGTTGGGGCCCCGTA